TATGAGGTATTTCAGTTAGCTGTTTTATTGCAATTACATACAGACGATGTTTTATTAATTGAGTAATAAGCAAGTTGGTAATGATAATGATATCATAATTGAAAAGAAAAAGATATTCCGCATTTTTAATTAAGTGCTGCTTAATACGATAGTATGATAATATTACCGGATATATACGGGGTGTTACTTCAACCTCATCAAATCCCTAATTTTCGCCACCTTCAACAAGGAAAATCTCCCTCCACAATGATTCCCACTCAAAACTAAGTTATGGTTATGAAAGAGGGGAAGATTTGGAGTAGTTTAGGCTTTGGAATCATCCAATTTGGTTGAGGAACGGTGGGTCTTTGGATTTCCTTCTCCCTTCCTTTCTCTCTTCTTTCTCTCTTCTTTTTTCTCTCTTGAGCACGACGGACAAAGAGGGAAAATGGGATCTTTTGGGTTGCTTTAGTCACTTAACATAAGTTAAATGACTTTAAGTGGGTATCAGCTCATCTATCTATTCAACTCCATAAACACCAATCTTTACCCAAAATTCTGGAATATTTTTCTAGGAATATTTTCACTTTTATTTTTATATTTTGGGTACTTTTGCCTACACCCATTTATACCCCTTAATTTTCACTGAGTACACTTTTTATCTCAAAAGTGACCCCAGTTCACTTAATTAGGTCCTATACTTAATTTTACTCACTATTACATGCTTAATTATTTAATCACATGTAATTTATTAATTAATTAGGCTAGAGCTATTATAGTCACCCCACCTTTTAGCGATTTTGTCCGCAAAATCATGAACATACCTGTCCTTAAACTCAGGATATTGCCGGAGAAGCTTGTCTTCCCGCTCCCAAGTGGACTCTTCAGGCGTCCTTCCTTCCCATTGAACCTTCACCATAGTAATCGATTTATTCCTCAGCCTCTTTTCATCTCTTTCGAGTATTTTCAGTGGCCCAATTGGAGTTTTCAAATTCTCCCGGATCTCAACATCATTAGGTTGAACCACATGAGAAGGATCAGTTACATATCTCCTCAGCTGAGAAACATGGAATACATCGTGCAAATTTCATAATTGAGGAGTAAGGCAAGATGGTAGGCAACCGGGCCTACCCTACGAAGAATCTGGTAGGGTCCAATAAATCTCGGACTCAGCTTCCTCACTCCAAAGGCTCAACACCCGTAACCGGTGACAGCTTTAAAAATACATGATCTCCCTCTTCAAACTCTAGAGGCCGATGCTTGAGATCATAATAACTTTTCTGACGATCCTGAGCCTTTTTCAGACAATCCCTAATCATTTTGATCTGCTCAGTAGTCTCCTGAACAAAATCCAATCCAAATCACTCTGGGTCCCCAACCTCTGACCAACAAGTAGGTGTCCTACACCTACGACCATACAAGGCCTCGTAGGGAGCCATACCCAGACTAGCATGAAAACTATTGTTATAAGAAAACTCAACCAGCGGGAGGTATCGATCCCATGCAGTACCCTGCTCCAGGGTGCAAGCTCTCAACATATCCTCCAACGTCTGAATGGTTCTCTCAATCTGACCATCCGTCTGTGGATGATAAACAGTGCTCAGTCTCAACTGAGTGCCAAGAGCCTCCTGCAACGCTCCCCAGAAGTGAGAAGTGAACTTTGGGTCCCGATCACTAACAATGCTCTAAGGCACCCCATGAAGCCTCACAATCTCCTTCACATAGAGCCTAGGTAATCTCTCAGCAGAGAAGTCTACCCGTACTGGCAAAAAGTGTGCGAATTTTGTCAATCTATCCACAATCACCTATATAGAATCACAACTAGCCTGTGTTCGCGGCAAACCCACTACGAAATCCATGGAGATACTCTCCCACTTCCATTCAGGAACATCCAGAGGTTGCAACATACCAGAAGGCTTTTGATGTTCAATCTTGACCTTCTGACAAATGAGACACTTAGAGACAAATTCGGCAATGTCTTTCTTCATACCAGGCCACCAGAAATTAATCTTTATATCCTGATACATCTTTGTAGCTCCCGGATGGACGGTAAATTGACCCTTATGGGCCTCCGTCATTACTTCCTCCGTCAACTGCCTAGGTACGACAATACGACCCTGATATAATAGTATACCTTCATCATTGCAGGATACACCACTCTGGCCAATCAGTCGTTTTGCACTCTCATTTTGCAGTTGAGCTTCTTTAATTTTGGTCATCATTTCATTTTCGATGCTTGTAATTTCGATGCCACATATTCTACATGGAAAGATTTTAGATAATTTCATATCTCTAAACCTCTCAATCACATCATAGTCTCTAATCATCATGCTTGCTAAGCTCACAGATTTACGGCTCAGTGCATCAGCTACAACATTAGCCTTGCCAGGATGATATTTCAATTCAAAGTCGTAGTCCTTTAGGAACTCAGTCCACCATCGTTGTCTCATATTTAACTCTTTTTGATCAAACAAGTATTTCAAACTCTTGTGGTCACTAAATACTGCAAATTTCATTCCATACAAGAAATGTCTCCATTGTTTCAGCCCAAAAACAATTGCAGCAAGTTCCAAGTCGTGGGTCGGATAGTTCTCTTCATGCGGTTTCAATTGCCTCGATGCATAAGCTACCACCTGCCTATCTTGCATCAGCACACATCTCAATCCCTTTTTGGAAGCATAGCTGTATAACTCAAATTCACCTTCCGGATCAGGAAGTACTAACACCGGAGCTGTTGTCAATTTTTCCTTAAGATTCTGGAAACATTCTTCGCATTCCTGCGTCCAAATAAATGGAGTATCCTTCTGGGTCAAACGGGTTAATGGAAAAACCATTGCCGAGAATCCATTTATAAATCTCCGGTGTAACCGGCCAAACCCAGAAAACTCCTTACTTCCGTTACAGTCTTGGGTCTCTCCCAATCAATAACTGCCTCTATCTTACTCGGATCAATTGCCACTCCATTAGCAGAAATGACGTGACCCAGGAATTGCACTTGAGAAAGCCAAAATTCACATTTAGAAGGCTTTGCATACAATTGTTTCTCTCTAAGAATTTGCAACACCGTTCTCAAGTGATCCGCATGCTCTTCCTTACTCTTAGAATATATCAGGATATCATCAATAAACACAATCACGAATTGATTCAGAAACGGCTTAAAAATGCGATTAATATAATCCATAAACACCGCTGGAGCATTAGTGAAAGAATTGAACGAGGAGCCGTATGAGATGAAAATCTCCAAATGGAATTACCTGGTACTCATAATGTCCATATCTAGATCGAAAAGCAGTCTTCGGAATATCTTCCTGCCTAATTCAGATCTGATGATAACCCGACCTCAAATCAATTTTTAAAAAGACACAAGTACCCCTCAACTGATCAAGCAAATCATCTATGCGAGGGAGATGATACCTGTTCTTGATGGTAACCTTATTCAACTGACGGTAATCAGTGCATAATCTCATGCTACCGTTCTTCTTCTTAACAAATATAACTGGTGCTCCCCACGGGGACACACTTGGCCTGATAAACTACTTAGCCGAAAGCTCCTCAATATGCTTCTTTAACTCGGCTAATTCCGGTGGTGACATCCGATACGGAGCCAGAGAGATAGGCCCCATGCCAGGCAATAGATCAATCATCAACTCAATCTCTCTATGAGGCGGAAGTTGCGGAATTTCATCTGGAAACACATCCACAAACTCCTTCACCACGGAAATATTGTCGATCTCCTCATGACTTCCACCCACTAAACCCCCCACAAAGACATATCCCAATGCCCCGGCCCTCAAAGCCTTTCTAACCTGCAACACAGATAGATATGGGGAAGAACTAGTAGCAGAATCATCAGCAGAAAACACAATCCTTTTTCCACAACAGTCTATCATAGCACAGTTCTTCGACAACCAGTCCATTCCCAAGATAACTTGAAGACTGATCATAGGCAAACAGATAAAATCCAGCACATAATCTCGGCTAGGGTTGGCAAAACGGGCCAACCCGGCTCGACCCGGCCCAACCCGCATTCAGCCCAAAAAAATGAGTCGGGTCGGGTTGGCTCGAAAAAAAAAATGAGCCAGAAAATCCAACCCGGCTCGACCCGAGCCGGGTTAGGGTTGGCTCGCGGGTTGGCTCGATAATCAGCTCGAGGGTTGGCTCGTAAAAAAAGCTCACGGGTTGGCTCAAAAAAAGCTCGCGAGTTAGCTCGAAATGATGCTAGTGGGTTGGCTCGCGGGTTGGTTAGCTCAAAATATTGGCTCGCTGGTTGTCTCGCGGGTTTGCTCAAAAACTTTAATTTTTGTGGTTTGTTCTCCTGTATAAAATTATTGTATTTTGCAGTCCAACTACAAGTAGAGTAGTTTACAAAATCCAAAAACATTAAATGAAACACAAACCACTCCACGAATCACAGGAGTCATTTATCATGATTTTCTGAATTACTCTAACTCACGATAACCATAAAACGTATATAAAGCCAAAAAATAAAAAATAAAAGAAATCCATTATATATTTCAACGATAAGCATCTAGAATCAAAAGCCAATCATGAAAAAAATGGACCTGCAAAAGCGACCAATATAGTAAAGTCCATCAGTGGAGAATCCATCAGTAAAGTCCATTGTATTTTATTAAAAAAAAAAAAAAGAGTAACCCGCGAGCTGGCTCGTTCAACCCGCGAGCTGGCTCGTTTGAGCTCGGGTTGGCTCGGGTCGGGCTAAATCGAGCTGGCAGCTCATTTTTGCCAACCCAACCCGGCTCGTTTTGTGCGGGTTACGAGCCAACCCGACGGGTTGGCTCATTTTTGCCATCCCTAATCTCGGCCTTCATATTTAAATTCAACATCCTTACATAAAACTGATGTATAACACTCTTCTCCAGTAGCCGTCACCATTTTCATTGGAGGAGAAATGTCGTACATTTGTAAATTTAGCCCAACGACCATAAAATCAGACATATATGAGTGTGTAGCTCCTGAGTCAAACAAGACTTCAATATCCATATTATCAATATAAATTATACCTTTCACAAGGTTTGGAGACTTTTCGGATTGTTGACGGTCCATGGTGTATACCCTACCAACCGTCTGGGACTCCTTCATAGGTGGAACAACTGAGACAGGAATAATAGTAGCTTGAACTGCCATAGTCCTCACTTCATGCTGAGGACACTGCCTAGAGTAGTGGCCGGCTCTTCCACACTTATAGCAAATAACTTCACCCGTAGCACAAGGACCTCTATGTTCTTTTCCACACCCTTTACACTTGGGAGGAGGGCCTCTATCAACAAAATTCTTTTGAGTTTCAGGCTTTTTGAACAAGTCAAACGGATTGTTCACATTCAGCTTTTTACCCTTCATTTTATTGTCCTTCCAATAATTTGAGCCTGTTGCTTTATTGGCATTCGGTGCCTGGGTCTCAGAAGGCTTCTTGGTCTTGGACACATTGTATACTTCTTCTACCTTTCGGCACTGATTCACAAATCTGCTAAACTGTCAGATGTCACAGTTTGACATCTTCCGAGACATCTTCTCATTAAGACCCCATTGGAACTTGGAGGTCATCTCAGCTGGAGTGGGTAAGGCTCTCCCATAGTTAGCGTACTTCACCAACTCGTTGAATTTAGAAAAGTATTGATCAATCGACATCGACCCTTGTTTCAGATCATTGTATTCATTCTGCTTCTGTTCCCTAGCCTCCCTAGGGAAGTAATTATCCAAGAACAACGTCTCGAACAGCCGCCAGGCGATTTCCCGGCCTTCAGCTTCTAAGGGCTGCACTGTATTGCTTCACCAATCTTCAGCTTCCTCTTCCAGCATATACATTGAGTAGACCAACTTCATTGCATCAGGGCATCTCATCACCCTGAAGATCTTCTCCATAGCTTGGAGCCATTTTGCTGCCGCCATTGGATCATAGCCTCCCTTAAAAGTAGGAGGTTTGTGTTTTCGGAAAGCCGTCAATCTCCTTTCTTCAGCTTCGTGTTCAGCAACATGCTCAACACGTGGTTGACGAACCTCGGTGTGATGACTATGACTTCCAGAATAGTGGCTAGCCTCACCCTCATTGTTACCCACTACACCCTTTTCATGTAAAAGAGGTGGAGAAGGCGTGGCAGTGTGAGGAGGAGGAGTGGGTTGCCGGTTCACATGTCTAGCACCCCTCAGGGTCCTCAACTCATTCATCATCACGACCATGGCATTCCGCGAATATTCATTCGTCTTTAACAAATTTTCATTGGCTTGCCGGCTAGCAGCTGACTGCCTTTGAACGGCTGCAAGAGTTTCAGCCACGGGATCAGTCTGCCCGCCCGTTGCCCCACAACCACTTCTGGGCCTCACTAAAGCAGCCAAACAGGTTCTGGCTGAGCATTGATATTTGATGGTTCAGGGTTATTTCGGTTCCTCGTCATGTCACTACACATGTTACACAAAGAAATGAGTTGATCAGGCTCACACTCAGTGATCACAAATGCAATAATCATAAAGAGTACCTAAGCAACTATAAAGCATTAAACACCAAGCATATATAACAATAATCCACAAGTTTAGCTACAAAACTGCTCTGATACCATAAAATGTAACACCCCGTTCTAGAACCAGTTTGTTAACATTGTTTTATGATATTAAGCGCAGTTACAATCACATTGGTTCAATTAAAAACCCGGATAAATTTTTTCGTTTTCCTTTTTATAACTTACTTGTTTTTCCTTTTTAACAACGCCGAGTTTGAAATAACCAATTGCGTGACCATAACGTTATTACTTTGCGGAATAATCAAAACTAAACTTAACATCATATCATTAGTTTGTTCGAGTTCAATACTAAACTCTCTTCACATATTATTAAATTGGAATTTCTATACTTACTTTATAGTTCTCATCTCATACTATGTTATAGATCTCATAGATAGCTTTGCATGGGTTTAAACCGCGCTCAAATCAGAGATCTGAAGCTCAAGTTATGACTATTTTAGTAAACTAGGTTGTGCTGTCTCGGGATGCGCGCTCGAGCGCTCAAATGGGCGCTCGAGCGCCCACTGCGAAGAATTTTGGTCACCATCAGGTCATTCAGAGCGCTTGGGTGGGTGTCTGCGCGCTTGAGCGCCCGAAATCAGCGCTTGAGCGCCCAAATAAGCGCTTGAGAGCCCAGAGGCAGGGGCTTTCCCTCATTTTTACGTATCTAGCGCGCTTGAGCGCCCAAACCAGCGCTTGAGCGCCCAAATAAGCGCTTGAGAGCCCAGAGGCAGGGGCTTTCCCTCATTTTCACGTATCTAGCGCGCTTGAGCGCCCAAACCAGCACTTGAGCGCCGAGAGGCAGGGGCTTTCCCTCATTTTCACGTATCTAGCGTGCTTGAGCGCCCTCCACCTGGGGCAGACTTGGTCTCCCCTGTTTTTGGGTGAATTACTTGGGGAAACTCCATTCCCCATTCATTCTTCAAGGGTTATTACACCTAATTGACAAGGAGAAACCAACCATGGTCACACACCATGTGGCACCTACATTCTATAACTCTTTACCAATACATGAATTCTAATCTTTCAAGGTACTCATACACTAAGAGAAGCATGCATACCATTTCATCATACATATATCTCCATTAATTACAACATGTATTAATTACAAAATCAGGGGACTTAGCTACCAAAAGAACTATGATCAACCCCTTGGCTCTCAACAACAAAAGAGGCACCAAAGGAGGTGAGCATAGGCTAAGTCCATCCAATAAAGCATGATATACGAATGATAATCGGCTTTCAACTATAAGTCCTATACATGGTATTTCTACATGTCATGTATAATCCCAAAACATGCAACATCTTCATGCATCTACTAATCCAAATATGGCCACTTGCCACTGGAGGCTCCTGCAGCATCTTTACCTGAAAGGGGGTCCCCACAACACGGGGTGAGATATACGAATATATCACAGTAAATCAGGGGTCCTTGGAGCATCTCTCCACCCCATAGTTCAATCACAGTGTAATAGCAGTAACAATAAAAATGCAATAAATACATATCCATGTAGTGTGTAAACAACATCTCCAGGAGAAATCCCTCGAGCTCTCAAGCTGTCCTAAGGATACTCAGAAGCAAATAGTCCTACTGTCCAGCTAAACTACCAAGTATGATTTACGCATCGTCATGCAACATACCAACATAGGGAAACACCATCCTATGCCACACCAAAGCATACACATACGTATAACAAAGCATTAAACTATTTCATTGCATTTATATACATTATCACAACCATTACCCAATCAGGGCTCGGTGGAACAATCAAGGGAATTATACCCAAGGTCCGAAGGCTTACCTCAAGCTTCCAATTCACCCTTTGTTCATCACCAATCTCAACAATACTCTTCTCCAAAACCAACACCTACACATGGTATAATGCAATCAACACATTGCATCCAAGAGTATTTCATAATCATCAATCAACTACTCAATTCATACCACAACACTAGTATGAGCTTACCAATTCCAAGGAGCTAATCGAGCTCCATCACTTGCTCCAATGGTTGGTCACTCAAGGTTGGTCCAAATGCCTCACTCCTAGGCATCATATGGACACAATCAATATCCAACCAAACCAACCATTTATCACAATCGCAAGAAAACCCACAATCAAGTATATAATCCTACAATTTTTCCAAGTATAGTCATATAACTATCTAAGCTCATTTTCATTGATTAAATGTCATTCCTAGCATTTTTTTACTACATACATTAAGCATTAATCCTCCTAGGACATAGCCATTTGACTCACATTATCATTAAAACCCTAAAATTTCCAACTCAACAAAACCATGAAAGAGATGAGGATTTCTTACCTCAATCACCACCACAATGGTCCAATGGAGATGTTCAAAACCACAACAATGGAAGACCTCACCTCAACCTCATCAAATTCCTAATTTTTGCCACCTTCAACAAGGAAAATCTCCCTCCACAATGATTCCCACTCAAAACTAAGTTAGGGTTATGAAAGAGGGGAAAATTTGGAGTAGTTTAGGCTTTGGAATCATCCAATTTGGTTGCGGAACAATGGGTCTTTGGATTTTCTTCTCCCTTCCTTTCTCTCTTCTTTCTCTCTTCTTTTTTCTCTCTGGAGCACGACGAACAAATGGGGAAAATAGGATCTTTTGGGTTGCTTTAGTCACTTAACATAAGTTAAGTGACTTTAAGTGGGTATCAGCTCATCTATCTATTCAACTCCATTAAACACCAAACTTTACCCAAAAGTCTGGAATATTTTTCTAGGAATATTTTCACTTTTATTTTTATATTTTGGGTACTTTTGTCTACACCCATTTATACCCCTTAATTTTCACTGAGTACACTTTTTATCTCAAAAGTGACCCCAGTGCACTTAATTAGGTCCTATACTTAATTTTACTCACTATTATATGCTTAATTATTTAATCACATGTAATTTATTAATTAATTAGGATAGGGCTATTATAACAACAATGTTATAACACAACTCAGCCCATGGAAGCAATTTAGGCCATTGTTTTGGAGACTTAGCCGTCATGCATCTCAAATACTGTTCCAGTACTCTATTAACCACCTCAGATTGGCCATCTGATTGTGGATGATAAGTTGTAGACCTCCTTAGTTTAGTGCCACTTAGCTCCCATAATTGTATCCAAAAATTGCTAAGAAAAATAGGGTCCCTGTCTGAAATAATAGAGCGAGGTACTCCATGTAATATGCATATCAGCTGTATAAAAAGGTTAGCAACCTTATTAGCATTGTATTTGCAAGCCAATAATTCGAAATGTGCCATCTTGGATAGTCTGTCCACTACCACTAGGATTGTTGTATAACCAAAGGAATTTGGAAGACCTACAATAAAATTCAAAGTTCACATCTCGGTTCTGGGAGGCGCTACAGGGAGCTTTTGGTACTCAGTTGAGATTGAGTACATCCTATCACCCTCAGAATGACGGACAGACTGAGAGGATCATCCAGACATTTGAGGACATGTTGAGGGCTTGCACATTGGAGCACGATTCAGCATGGGATATATACCTGCCATTGGTTGAGTTTTCGTACAACAACAGTTTTCATGCTAGCCTGGGTATGACACCCTACGAGGCGTTGTATGGTAAGAGGTGTCGAACTCCTACCTATTGGTCTGAGGTTGGAGATAAGGAGTTGTTTGGCTTGGATTTCGTCCAAGATACCACCCAGCAGATCCAGATGATCAGAGAGAAGCTGAAGCAGGCGCAGAATCTCCAGAAGAGTTATTATGATGTCAAGCATCGACCACTGGAGTTTAGTGAGGGTGAGCACGTGTTTGTGAGACTTTCACTTGTCACTGGTGTTGGCCGGGCACTCGGAGTGAGGAAGCTTAGCCCGAGATTCATAGGGCCATACCAGATTCTTGGTAGGGTAGGGCATGTTACCTACCGGCTTGCCTTGCCTCCGAACTTGGCCAACATGCACGACGTCTTTCACGTGTCTCAACTTCAGAAGTATATTGCGGATCCATCGCACGTGGTGCAACCGATGATGTAGAGGTTCGGGAGAACTTAAAGACCCCCGTCGGACCACTCAAGATTCTCGATCGTGGCGATAAAAAGCTAAGGAGTAAGATCATTCCGATGGTCAAAGTACAGTGGACAAGAAGAACTCCTGAGGAGTGTACTTGGGAGCGAGAGAACGAGCTTCTCCAGCAATACCCCGAGTTTCAAGACATGTATGTTTCTAATTTTGCGGACAAAATTCTTAAAAGGTGGGGTGAATGTAAGAACCCGCACCGTTAATTTAGGAATTTAATTAATTAATTATGAGATAATTCTATAATTGACCCTAATAATTATAAGAAGACTTAAATAATTATAGTAAGTGATTAATAATGTTGAAAGTCGCTTTTCTGACGAAAAGTGCAGATACCGGTTATGCTTCACGGTTTAAGTGCGTACCGATGAAGTATCCCGAAAAATTATGAAAAGTATGTATATATCACTAAAAAAATATATAGGACTGGTATAACAAGTTTGACGTCAAAGTAATGAGAATTGATGTCAGAACTGATACCAGCTACGTAAAAGCGCGTACCGGCAAAGTGCCGCGAAAAATAATATAAAAATGTGATAAATCCTAGAAAAATGGATAGGTTTAGAATTCAAAGTTTGGAATTAAAATGATAAGCGTAGCTATTAGCGCTAATACTGACGGATTAGTTTAATGGACCTATAAATAGCTTATGGGCCCAAAACCCTAGGCCATAATGCATTTGCTACGTGAGGCTCTTTTGGCTGCTGATTGCCTTCAGCCATTTACCTCTCTTCTTAGACTTGAGTTTCATACAACAAATGAACCAATATCCTATCTTTTTCCCATTGATCCTTTCCTTAATCTTGTAAACACTAAGTAATGAGCCTTGTGAGGGTGTGAGGCCACTCATTTCTAAGTTTAGACTTCTGAGTTGAGTGGTTTTTGGGGCTGAGTTGTGGGTTCTTGTTGTGGAAGCCTTGTCCATGTCATTGGAGGCTTCAAGGAGCCACCTTTTGGTATAAAGGACCAAGCTTGGGGTGCATTTTCGTGGTCCCTTAAAGCCAGAACCTTTGAGCATTGTTGGAAGCTCCAATGCAGTGTCTTTTTCTGAATTTGTGAAGCTTGAGGTATACTGTAACACCCCGTGTATACCCGGTTTGTTATCATATCATCGTATTAAGCGCTGCTTAATTAAAATGCGGAATTAACTTTTTCTTTTCAATTATGACGTCATTATTATTTACCAAGTTGATTACTTAATCCTTTTTCAAAACATTGCCTGTATGTAAATTGCAATTAAACAACTAAATGAAATACCTCATATATAAATGTGTTTCTAGTCACATAACTACAACACGTAGACCGAACAATATCCTGATAGATTATACAACTCAAGTCTAACTAAACAAGATATAATTAATGTGTCATGGACAATCCCCATGCTCACCAAATAAGGCAACAAGCCCAACAAAGTCTCAGCTCAATAATCATATAATGACAATATAACATAAAGCGGCATCCAATCATAAAGTGAGTATCTAAGTCACAGATCTACAACTCGTAGTCCAGACAGTATCCTGATACATTAATACAACTCTAAATAAAACAAGACATAATCAAGTCTACGTGGCATGGACAATCCCCATGCTCACCAAATCAATAGCATAAACAACCAAGTCTCAACATAAGAATCCAAACTCATAAATAAGCTAAAAGCATAAAAGCAGCATGCATAACCAGCATCCAACAAGTCAGCATATAATAACAACAATATCTAACTCAGCTCCGGCCTCCTGCCGCCTGAGGTCTCAACCCCAACATTACCTAAACCTGAAATAAGCATTCCCCAAACGTGGGGTGAGATCTCTAAACCAGAAATCTCAGTAAGACAAGGGGTCCTCAAGGATCTTCCACCCCAAGCTCACTTACATGTGCAATATAAGTTCTAAAAGCATTTATATCAATATAAGTTCCAAAACTATACAGTGCAACAGATATTCATGCCATGTGTGTTTAAACTATTCTACTGGCCAGAGAAATGCAGGAATACGTTTATCACCCACATGTAGTACAAGGAACACCGCTTGCACCTCACCCACAGCCTCACCATATTGTATGTACCACATACTCAGGCTTACCGTATAGGTGGAACACCACATGCATATCATAAAGGCACTAGCATATAACAGCTCAATAGCATTTCCAAAACATCAAAAGCATGTAACACAACACGCATATAACCATACCCCCATGGGACATGGTGGAACCACAACATGGCTAAACCAAGGACACGAAAGCTTACCTTGCAAGCTAGCTATCCAAGCCAAGAGTCCACAATCTCAAAGCCCAAACACAGCAGTATCACAATCTGTTATGAACCAATAATACATCATTAATCAAACTCTACAAGCATACACTTAAAGACAACGTCTTTCCTTTACGTTTTACGTCTTAAGGATTCTAATAAAGCCACAAGCCCTTAATCACATGATTCTGACTTAGTTCATTAATTACAGAAGTTCAACTTCATCAATCTAGGGTCCACAAACCCCCAATAGCCTACTGTACACACAACACAGCTACTGTTCTACGAAATCCCAGAATATCCGGATATTCGTCGGGGGCATATCCGGATATCCATCTGACAATATCCGGATATCCAGATTCCCATATCTGGATACACATATCCGTATATCAATATCCGGATATTTCGCGACAGAATGCAGTTTCTGCATTTCGCGAAGATATCCTTCCAAGGTTTCATTTTTAACACTTACACACGTTAAAGCATGCATTTTTAGGCATATTTAGGTTCATACAACTGTTGGTTACTTGTTTAATTCATTAAACATGCCAAGACATCAACTTTAACCCAATAAACTCATGATCAAAGGTGGTAACACTTACCCAAGGTTCAACCAGCCACAAAAGGTGCTCTTGGAGCTCACAATACAACCCCAAGGTTCTGACTTGGTTCCAAAATGAAAAAGGCACACCAAGGTTGGTTCTTTCTCCACAAAGGTCACTCCTTGAACCTCAAAATGCCAAAACAAAG